GTGACTGGCACACAATGTCCCCTTTGTTTTAATGCTAGCTGGTTACTACTGTTGCTGAGTTGATGCACTCACTCGCCTTGTTGTTGTGCTGGTTTTTTTTTAAACTTATTCCTTCTCTATTTCGCAATCATTAAAGTTAATTTAAACGAATGTTGAGACCAAGATCTGCTTCCACTTAAACATTCTCGCGAAATTGGCAACCGAGCTGCTTGGCGTCTGTCGTCTCGCAAACAAGGATTTGGCGTTGAACGTCTGCGTGATAATTTTATCGACACTTATTGGCAGTCTGATGGGTAACTACCGCATTTAGTAAATGTGCAGTTTCATCGCAAGACGCGAATCAGTGCAACGTATTTATATGCCGATAACTAACCCGATGAAAGCTATACACCTTCACGCATTTCACTAAGAACCGGATCGAACTTCACCTCCTGGCAGGATCGCCAAGTATTTGAAGTATTTATTGCTCAATAGAAAATTTTATGTTTGTAGTTTGAAGACTTGAATTTTAATGATTTTAAAAACTTTTCATTTAGAAATTCCAATAAAATCTAAGAACAATTGAACAAATAAAAATTGTACAGGTACAAAATAATAAGACATATATACCCTACAGGGAGGTTTAAAAATACTGTAGCTATTTTTGACATCGGGGGATAAAACTCATAACATAAGGAAAAATGTCTGTAGAAAAAACGCAAATCTGAATTTTTGCTAATTTTTTAATGGATAACACAGCCCAACAAAAAAAAAAAAATTTGGTACGGAAAATGTTAAAGCTGTTTTTGATATATTTTTTTTGTGCTGATTACGAATCCGTTTCCATCAGCCCCAGACTAAAAAAAAAAAAACGTGGACAAAGTGTCAAAAGATCGAGGTTTTTGCAATTTCTTAGAAGCTTTGGCAAATAAATAATAGGTGATAGAATCTTCCTGGCTTAAATTAAAGCTAGGTCTCTCGACTACTATCTCTGAAAAGAGAACTTAAATATTTGAGATCTTAAAATATTTTTTAAAATCATTATTTTTAACTAAATGATGCCAAACTTGTATGCATACTTTCCTCCAGAGGAAGGCTTAAACACCCAAAAAGCATCTGCGAAGTGGAGAATGGAAGCCGCCAAACGAACGAAAAAGCCGCCAAATACATATCTATCTATGTAAAGTAAACAAGCCCCTCGCTGCATCGCTTTATCAATAGTTCCGAACTAGTTCTAAATTCGACAAATAAGATTCAGTTCGTTCTGCATTCGTTTCTCTATACTTTCGAACCAGTTCTAAATTCGTCACCTTAGATATAGGTTTCTAATGGAAATAGTAAAATAAAATAGTTTTCTAAAAGTACCACATTTCGCTGATTTTGGCTGGTGTGGGGATCTAATTATTATCGGACTTGTTCGTTTTTGGCGATAAAGATCTAGTACGGTGCTAGAAATTTGATTCGATAGTCCGCGGTTTCCCTGCAGGGTATGCATGCATTTTTAATTTTTACATATCGTCGTTTGAAGTACGAAATAGCGTATCAACAAAACACTCATATTTCAAAATGGTTCTCTTTTTTATAAAGCAATCGCTTTTCTGGCTAGTATATTTCAGGACGAATGGATAAGGATTGAGCCAAGAGTTTGTGTGAGCAAATCCAATTTTTGGCAGCAACGCGGTTTTGCAGTATGACGATACGCGGTTTTGTACTTTAAATGACGATATACATGTATTTCATAGTAGCACCTTTACAGGTTAAGCCACCAAAAAAGTGCTTATAAAAAAAGGATATGAATGAGCGATTTTATTTCGTTACATTTAAAAAAAAAATCGCTTTATTTATATTACTGTAATAGCTACTTGTCGGTTGTTTTGGTTGCTTGTTTTGATCAATTGCCAAACTTACCGGTTTTTAACGCATTGTTTATCATTTGTTTGGGCTTTATCGCTCCACATAACACAATCGCTGCATATTAATTGCATCATGCATTCAGCAGAAAACTATGTATCTATGTGTGACTTCAGTTAACATATGGCCATTGAGCTGCATTCTGATGCAATTTCATTGCTGCGTTTGAACTAAATTGAGTGATTTTCACGTTCGAAAATGCAATATTGGTGGTGGTGGCGGCGCTGGTGGCCGGCAGTTAAAAATAAATTCGATTTGTATGTATGTACATATGTATCTACATAGCTGCTGAGCAGGGCGGTGGCTGACAGGCGTACAAATACACCAACACTGAAAACGCTCCAGTGCCATGGCACCATGGTATACATACATACATACGCACATATGTATGAATCGCTAGTATCATTTCAGTTGTTGTTGCACAAGCTTATGCGCTGATAGTAGTCTTCTAACCGCCCGGCATTCTTCCTGTTACCATTGATATGTCGTTTTCAGATGGTAACTGCTATACATATTTTGTTTTTACACATTCTTGTTGGACTTATTGTTGTTACATTATTTTGTGGTGCAGCAAGTCCGACCGATCTTTTGCTATAAAAGTTGGCTTACTTTCGTATTCTATATCAAAATCAAATCAACACTTCTTGATTGTGCTACCGCAGTATAGCAAATCCTTTTCCTTTACTTCTCAAATCCTTTTAGGATCTAAACAACAAACATGAAGGTAATTCAAGTAGTT